GAGAAAACAAGGAGGTGGGAGACCTCCCTGCAGCCTTCTGGTACTTAAAAGGGAGATTATAAACAAGAGGGAGACTGACTTTTTACACATGCAGATAACGACAGGACAAGGAGAAGTGGTTTTAAACTTAGAGGGGAGATTTATGTTAGTTATGACAAGGGTCAGTGATGAATCACATGAACGGATTTCCCAGAGAAGCTGTGGATGTCCAATCCGTGCTGGTGCTCAAGGCCAGGTTGGATGGACCCTTGGGCAGCCACGTCTGGAGGATGGCAAACTGCCCATGGCTGGGGATTGTAACTAGATGATCTTTGAGGTCCCTTCCATCACAAGCCATTCCATGATTCTGTGAACTAACAAACTTACTGTATACAATCACACAAATAGGTATTTTCCAATCTTTCCAATCAAGAGATGAAAAAAAGGGTCATCAAACCAAGTGCCAGTAAAAGCAGAAAAAACAAAAAACAAACAAACAACCCCCCCCCCTCCCCCCCCCCCCCACACACACAAAACCAACAATCAGTGAACAAACAAACAAAAAACACACAATCAAAATAAAGCAAAGAAAATAAAGCATCTTGGAACACATCACAGTTTCCCAGATCTGGCTTGCTTGGATGGTAGCAGCTGTTGGGGGTCTTGCATACAGTGCAGTAGAAACCGTGCTTTCATCCTCTATTTATTTCCTATTCCCCACCTTCCACATGCGTCTCAAACCGTGGTCCTAATGATCGCTTTCTCCGACATGCACATTTCAGCCCTCCAAAAAGACATAAAGGCATTAATCCCTCTGATCCCACTGCATTTTCAAATGTTCTCTCTGTGTTTTCTTTTTACTGCTGCAGCCTGACCTGAAGGTGGTGGGACAGTGCTGCTGGTTGGTTGGTGTGGCTGGGCAGGGTGAGGAGCTGCAGACTCAGCCTCATAGAACAGAAGGGTGGCTTGGGTGTGTGCTGCCAGGCAGGACTGCTACTGCTATGCATCATTTTGAGAGTTGGCAAACCAGGGTCTGGGAAATGCTGGAAAAGACAGCAATCAACATGTCTATACACCATCTTCTGGGGGCTTTTTTCTGTAATTATGCACATTTCCAAGCACCTTTTTTCCCTCAAAATTGAATTGCAGTCAATTGTCTATTGCCAGTCATACCCAGCAAAGCATCCTATTGCATGACAGAGTATTACAGGGCCATGCCTACCATTAAACGTAACTTTGTGGCCCAGGATAGTCAGGAATGATGAAGCCCTGCTGAACCTCTAAGCATCTCTTGTTATCTGCAGAGCATATACCTTTGTTGCCCTGTTTTCTCAGTATCCTTTATAAATCTGCATCTTCAACAAAATACACAGGCAGTAATGAGCAACTGCTACCTGAACAGCTTATGAGTACATGGAAGTTTGCACCAACAGGAAAACTGTTATTACCTCAGTATGTGCCAGCAGAAGACTATGCCTGACAATGTTTGTTAATATAACACCTCTTACAGCACCACTGGTTAATGAAGCCAGAGCAACTGGATGCTTTCCTGCTAAGGGAAGCTGCAATGTAGTCATGTGCAGTGCTCACAATGACATAAATCTCAATTGCATCCGATAATGCTTAGCAGGATTAAACACAGAAAATATGTGAACTTTCCTTCTACTGATGTCTGCAATAGATTGGCAAAGAAATTCTGAACCTTTATTAAAAAAAAAAAAAAGTTTAATTGAAGTTTCATTTCTGTGTTGGTGAAACAGGACAGAGGGAATTTAGACAATTCTGCAGCTGGTTTGTTGTTGTTGTTGTTATTGTTGTTTTAATGAAACAGCTGATTCTAGAAAGAAAGCAAAAAGCTGTGTGAAAATATGCCTTCTTTTTCCATCCATCTGTGCAAATATTCTGGAGAAATAAAAATATTCCCGACTGGATTCTCAATACAAAGTTTCTCAAAACAGAAAGTTTTCTTTGCTCGCATTCACAGGAAACAAAACCTGAATGGAAGCAACACTGATAGATAATTTTTCCTTTTTAACCATGATCCACTTATATAAAATTAGGCAACTTGCTAGGTTGTGTTTGGTGATATTTAAATTTGGGCTATAATCTGTACCTTTATTCAAATGTTCTCAGTTTCATTAAAACACATTACAACCTAACAGCACACTGTGCACAAGTCACAAAAAACAGGAATGCTAAGAAGTAAAGGTACTGACTAAAGGAATGCCGGTGTTTTTAAAACTTTTGTCTTCATGCACAGTATGTGAATGACATATTATTCTTCACACACCAAAAAAATCCAACAGTTTCATTTTTTAAGGCAGTTTATATTCAAAAATCAAAGCCCTCTTTGCAGCTCCATGTGGGCAGAACTGTACCTCAGTACAGAACCTCGCTGAAAAGCAGTGGCTAAAAGCTGACAGGATCACAACCGGGTCAGGTCAGGCTTCTGCAAGCATGTGCTGGTGACACTGACTATCCATGTTTTATGTCAGAAATCTATCACAGTATTTGCAAGATCTGGGCCAGTATTGCTCAAGCAGAAATGTATTCCCATAAGGCTTTCAAATCCTGTTTATCTGTTTATTTTCTGTGTGTCCACACTGGATGTGACAGAATACCAGTTGTTATGAGAAGATGTCAATCTGAATACAGAGAAGAAAATAAGAGAGAGTTGAACAGAAATACCTAACCACTGACCACAGGTAAGAAAAAACTAAGTGTATCTAGGGGAGTATGCAAATCACATTGAAGTTATGTCCTTGCTTACCACTGTACATCTTGAGATATGCATGGGACTGTTCAGCACCTACTGAATTGATCACAAATTGGTTTTAATTTCTATTTCTTTGTGGTTTTGCGGATTGATGTCCACCCACAGGCCTGGCATCAGATTTTGTCTGGGACTCACTCCTCTAGAACACTGACTATGAACTGAACATACAGACTATGAACACCTTGGGAAAATCTACAGAAACTGCTATATCCTATGCAATAGTGAAATGCCAATGATCTTCTTTCCCTGTTGTTTCAATCACATCAGGCTCCCACTGCTACTGTATCACATATTAATAACTTGCAATCTTTCACAACACTCCTCAGTGCGTACTCTTCCTCATTCTCATGGCTCTTACAGTCCTATTCCCTAATTCTCCTCAAAGAGTAACAGCCTGAACAAACACTTTTTACCACTGTCTAAACCAGTCTGAAACAAACTGCTCAGCTTTTGCTGAGATCTTCAGTACTTGCAAAGGCATTACCTTATTTCAGTTGCAGCCAAAACCACTTAAACTCGCAGTTAAATATGACTTCCTGAAATCTATCAGCACTTTACTGCTTTCTGATAGTGTTTATTTGGTCTACAAGCGTCTTAGAATAAAACACTCCAACTGTGCCACCCAATTTTTGGTTTACTACGTTCATTTTAGCTGCCACCACAACAAAATATAAAGGTTTTGCCTTTAGCTTCATAAAGTAGGCTTTATGTCACAGTTCAACAGAAATTCAAGGAGAGCTAATACAGCAAAATTCTACTGTTTATATATAAACTTTGAAGAAACCAAAAGGAAACTCCAAATCCACATTATTTATTTTGCGTGATTTTATTCAAAAGAAACATAACGAGCTGTGTCATGTGAACTAATGAAAAGCAGAACTGCCCGAAGAGCCAGGACAAGTCTCATCACCTCTTTTTTTCCCCAGAGCCAGATGTCTCACTGACATGTAAATGAAATGTCAGTATTGCTACTAGCTTGATTTTTGAAAGGCGATTTACAGGCTTCTATATGCTCTGTCATGCTACCATGTCAGTTTCCAACCTGTCTGACTATTCTTCCTTTCCACAGCATTCTCACAGCAAAAATCTGTGAGATTTTTCTTAATCAGTCCCTTTATAATAGAGCTGAGAAACAGAGCAGATTCAGGCGAGAAGAAACATACCTTGGAATTTACTTTAAGAGCTCCAACTACCGTTTTGAAAAACAGACTGAGTTTTTCCTTTAAAACACAGTATGTCATGTGAGAGTAAAATGCAGAAAGATGCATCACACCATGTATTGGTCCCGACTCTACAAGCTGCATATTTACCCCAATAGTGAATGGACGGGATTCAGTGCCTTCCATGGGTAAGGCAAGAGAAACTCCGCAACTGATTCCTGCCAGCTATGCTTCTCCATCAAAAACATCATCCTGACAAGTGTTTTAACCTATACAGATATTAGAGGATTCAAGGATGAATACTAAGTGCATTTACTCTTGTACAAAGACACAGACGAGGTTAAGAAAAACATGCTCCTTTAGTCTGTGCTCAGACCTGTGTTACTTCACATACAGACCAGAGCACCACACCTGAGTTTTTAACATCATAGGAATACATCAGGCAAATCACTTTTGTGCCTCACCTTCCCCCAGCATGATTATATTTAAATCTTCTGGCATCAAGTGACGGAAAAGACTATTTTACCTATTTACTAAACCTGTGGTCTACAAAAAGCTGTGGAGTTTCCAACAGCTGAAGCACCCATACATACGTGTACATTGCCTCAGAATACCCAAGACAGAAGAAGCTTACGTTCAGATTTTAGCTTAATTTTATTTGATGATGACGCACAGCTACTCCACGTGAGACCTTCCAAGGAAAAGTCAGACGTGAAATAAAGCCCCTCACGAAAGCTCTGCAGCAATGCCTTCTGCCTCCCAAGGCAGCCCTCACGCCGCAGCCTCCGCCGGTAGTGCGTGCCGTCAGGAGCAGATCCGGCACTCTTTTTCCTAAGGCAGCCGAGGAGCTAGCAGATCATAAAGACGCTACCGCCAGCTCCCGGACTCCCCCGAGCGAGGCGAAGTGCACCGTTAGCGGCCGGCTGCCAGACGGCCCGCGTAGAGCCCCGAACCGGGCGGGAGCGCGGCTGTGGCCGCGGCGCTGCTGTTGCGCATGCGCGGCAGCACGGAGGCGACCGCCCTGAGTACAACGCGCATGCGCGGAGTCGCGCAACGTGTGGAGGGGGGCGCCGTCGCGCATGCCCGGCACCGGGACGCAGGCTTGTGACGCGCCGTCTGCGCGCCGTCGGTCCCTGGTCCCATATGGAGGATGAGGACTGCCCCGAGCTGGTGCCGATAGGCGTCGTGCGGGACAGCGAGCCTGACTCCGGCAGGAAGATCCCCGTGACCATCATCACGGGCTACCTAGGTGAGGGGCGGGCGGCTTCCGGTGCGGGGACTTTGCTGTTTGCTCGGTAGCACGTGTGGTGGCTGCGTCTTGTGAGTAGCGATGGCGAAACGGAGAATCCGGTTCTGTTAACAGAAGTGAATTGTCTGGGAAAGACTGCCTGGTGAGGGGCTCTGCGTCAGCTGAAGTTAGTGAACGGGGCGGTCTGTTGCGGGTGGGCTTTTTTGGTCGGTGTTTTATTTTTGTTTTCCAAGGTGAGGTTTAGCCTGCCAATAGTTCTGTGAACTCTTCTTAAAAAATATATGTACGAATTTGTACGTGTGTATATATACATTATAGTGTTGGTTCTCATTCTTTTGCATTCCATCTGATTCCTCTAAAGTATGTGTGTCCCCAGTAGTATTTACTTTTAATCTGAAAGTTCAGCCGTTTTTTAACGGTTTAATGTTCCAGGTGCTGGGAAAACAACTCTTCTGAATTACATTCTGACTGAGCAACATAGTAAGAGAATTGCAGTGATACTGAATGAGTTTGGAGAAGGTATGTAAACCTGTACGAACATTTTTGTTATTTATCTTGAGCTGCAAAATATGCGTAAAGCTTCTGGAAATCACAAATATTGATGTTTTAAATTTGTTGCTGGAATTAGTGTCATACCTCAGCCTTGAGAAAGGCAGGAAGACTTTTGGCTGAACTTCATGGTATTAATGTGTTGCACAGTTCTGTACGTAAATTCAAGTCAAGCAAATGAGGCTGTTACGCTGCTAGAAGTACGGTATGGCTGCTTGGCCTGCTCATTCTGAAGCAGATGAAAATTAAAACGAAATGTCGGTGGATAATGTTTTCTTTGCATTCTACCCAGCTACTTAAAGAACACAAATTATCTTAGATCAAGAAAATGAGGAGGTGCTTGCATGGTCTCTATGATTGACTTTTTTGCTTCCTGGCTTGTGGGACTTTTGGCTGCCAGAGCTGTCATTTTCTATCTGCACCACAGGGTTTGCACTGTGATGATGATGTGTGTTGTTTGTTTATGGTTTTGTGTTTTTTTTCATATGCACATCACTTCTGGTCACGGAGCCTTAAGCTACAGAAGCAGGCATATATGTGATATAGGGATAGAAGCTGACCTCTTTATTCTAACTTGTTCCATCCTGCTTGTCAGTTGTTTTTTTTACCTCTGTAGAACCACAATATAATCCCAGAACAAAACATATGCCAACATGAATCTTTCATGTTTTCTTTGCAGGTATTCTTTCACAAATTGGTAGACTGAAGTTATATTTGTTCTTTTTCCAGGGAGTGCACTGGAGAAATCCTTGGCAATCAGTCAGGGAGGAGAACTCTATGAAGAATGGCTGGAGCTAAGAAATGGCTGTTTGTGCTGTTCAGTAAAGTAAGGAGGGATTACTATGCAAGTTCTCAATAGTGGGTTTTGGGGGAGTTGAGGAAAGGAGAGGAGATGAAGGACAAATTCATAAAGCTAATGACAGTGTTGATAGTGACTTATATTTTAGAGGAAACAAATTTGAATTTACTAGATAGACATTATTTTCCCTCTGATGCCTTACTGGATTTGGAGTTAGCATCTTTCAGAAAACTATGCAGTTGGGTATTACAGTTGGGTATTACAGGGTAAGGAGCTCTGCCTTCTGTTCCTATTACATGCTTTTATACTGAGTGCTAAATATTCAAGAAAGCTGGAATTAGGACTCAAGTGAGATACTTAAGTTGTGTTTCTTACTCTGTTGCCTAATATTTGGGTATTTTGTAGCTCAGAAGGGACAGAGGGAGAGCCTCTGTAAGGAGACAGCATTTGTAATTGTAAACAGGTGGTTATGTTAAAACATAGCATTTTATTCATGTTTGTTGTTTTTTTGTTGTTGTTTATTTGAATGTTGGACTGTTTGTGTTAAATTTGTTGGTGATCTGTTGGCACTGAAAATTTGAAAGAACTAGTCGTATACCTTACAAATTGGACAGTAAGGGGAAAACAGAAGGTCTCATTGCACTGTGTTGTGTACTGATAGATAAAGAATGCAGCTGTTACTGCTTTTTTTTTATATGCATAAGTTTCATATGTAAAATGGCATATGTTTTTACTTAAGCAGCTGAGATTTAAGGATTTAAGTAAATAGCACATCTTGCTCCCTCCCAAACCAAAAAGTTACACGTTAGCGCAACTCTGCTTTACTGTGATTTCAGTGTTTGAAAATTAATATTAATTTAAATTGCCATTGTTATAGCCTTGGGGAGTGCACAAATGTTTTTCAGACCAAAATAAAACTGAAGGCTTTTGTTTGCCTAATACTAGAACAGCAGCTTGGTGACTAAATTTTAAGTGTAGTTTGTGTAGGTCCTGACTCAGACCTTTTGCTTTGATGATACTGTCATTGGGTTCTGCATCAGCACATGGATAAGTTTATATAAAACGTGTAAGCATGTTTTACTTGTTTTTTCTACTCTCAGGTTTAATTGTTTCTTTTTGCAGGGACAATGGTGTGAAGGCTATTGAGAACCTCATGCAAAAGAGAGGAAAATTTGACTATATATTGTTAGAAACAACTGGTTTGGCAGATCCAGGTAGTTTACATTGTGTATGTTTTTTCATAACCATTATAATTCACCTGTTTTTATGAAGTGTTTATTTGCACAGCAGTCACTTCACCATTCAAAAATGTGTTATGAAGTGGTAAGTTTTCAACCATGCATGTAGGTTGCTGTATAGAGCAAAACTGGTCAAGGGAATGGGTGCACAGGCAAAATTATGGTTGTTGTAGTTAAACTTCTAGCTTCTAGATTGACTCTAATGCTTGACAGAAATCTGGTTAAAATAAATCTGTGTTGAAGAAGTGTCTTAAGTCTTGGAGAAGAAGACACTAAAACTAGCAGCTTTCAGTAAGTTTTATTTCTGTTCCACATTGCTCTTTCCAAGGTGTATGTTATCTGTCATAGCCTTTGTGAGGTCTAAAAATGTGCTGCCAAACGGACTAATGCATTTTTTTGGTAGGTACAGAACAATAAATCCTTATGTGCTGTTCAGTGATTTTTGTTATTAAAAAGTAATAGTAACCTGAACAGTTTTCTCTGAACCAGATCAATTATAAAAGCATGTTATTGTCAGAAAGTGAAGGAACAGGCTGCTCAGGGAAGTTGTGGAGTCTCCTTCTCTGGAGATGTTCAAGACCTGCCTGGATGCCTACCTGTGCGACCTGGTGTAGGGAACCTGCTTTGGCAGGGGGGTTGGACTCGATGATCTCTGGAGGTCCCTTCCAACCCCTACAATTCTGTGATTCTGTGAAATTCTTACTGACATTTAAGCTGTTTCTCATTTGGTAGACTAACACTTTCCAGCTCAAAGCTCAATAGTTGTCACAGTAATTTTATTTAAAAGAAAGGACATTGATATAGCCTCTGTTAAGAACAAATCCTACGTACAAAGGATGCTGGAGGGTCTATTCCAACTTCTAAAAGCAAATAAGCTAAATGATAAGGCCAGGTTTCTCAGGATATTCAGTCAGGTATCCCCATCCTCTGACAACTGGGAAGACTGTGTTTCTGGTCAGCTGGTTGTGGGCTTGTCTTTTCATACTGAAAAAGCATTTTTGTGATACGTGTGATCTGAACCTCTTGTTTAAGCTTAATGCTGTTATCTCTAATCTTTCTGCCGTGTAACACTATGGAAAAACTTCTCTCAGTCTCCTGAGTGACTTATCTTTGATTTTCAAGGTGGCTGCCGTTAGCTCCCATGGAAAGTTTGCTGTGTAGACAGAGCAACTTCTGTTGCCCACCTCTTTCAGGGCCTGTGATCCCTACTGTCTTAGTGATTCTATGCTGAACTTGCATCAGTTTAGTTACATCTTTCTTGCATAGGCTATGCTACTGCTGGAAGAACTATCCACATGTAATCTTAAAAGTGCTGGGTAGAGAATAGCTTCCCTCAGCCACGCTCCTGTTCTCAACCCCATTTTTCTTTCAGTGTTTTGTATGGAGGAGTCCTGCAATGAATGCAGTAATGACACTGTAGATATTACTGGGTGAAGTTAATTCAGAAGACTTACATGCATCTGGAATTGTGAGATTTTTAAAGCTTTTCTAGTCTCATCTTACATATTACATAACTGTAATGCTTTGGCAGCTGCTGGATAAAATATATGGTCAGGCACTTGACATTGATAATGCTCTCTGAATTTGTAAGAGAGGAGTTTTAAATACAGAACTACTAGTATCAGTTTTGCAGCTAAACTTATTGTACTTCCTAGGAGCTGTGGCCTCCATGTTCTGGGTTGATTCTGAGCTGGGAAGCGACATATATCTTGATGGTAAGCAGTGCAAGTTTGTTTTGCAACATGTTGGTACTGCATATCTGTGTGTAGTGCAGTGTAATGTATTGCAATTTAATGCAAGCTTTCAGAAATTGTTTGAAAGACATAATCTTGGTTTTCATATCCTCAAATTTCTTGCCAAAGATCTAGTTACTTGTTTTGATGCTTCAGTTCACTAAAACAAGCAAAAATTGTGTATGTTTTGCTGACAGATTAGTTAAGGAGATATCTTGACTATGGGTTAAGGAGAAGAAACCTTATTAGTCCTCATTAGTTGGGTATTACCAAATGTTAATTAGGTTTTATTATTTTTATTCATTGTGTCGTTGATCATTTTTAGTTTTTCTGATCTCTTATCAATATTCAAACTCCCCTGCCTTCTGTTTTCTTCTTTGTCTTTTCTACTTGTTTGTTCTAGCACTTCATCTGTTCCATTTAAATTTTAATTTTACTGTAATTTTCATTAGTTAAAGAGCATGTTGTGTGTTGATTTCTTTCCTCCTTTTTTTTTTTTCAGTGGGAAAAAATCATAATGTTTTTTTGCTTAAAAATACCCTACTGTGTTTTTGGTTAGGCTGTGAAATGCCCTTTTAGCTAGAGAAGCATTCAGTTACGTTACAAACAGCTTCATCGGTTTCTGCTAGACAGTTGTAGAATCCTGGTCACCTAAAATCAGAATGACTGTGTAGCTCAATCAGTCCCCTTAGTTTGCTTTGATTGCTTGTGGGAATGTATCTCTGCCCACTTATTTTTGCGTGGAAGGAGGCAGAGAGGCATCTGCGTGGTAAGAATTTTTTTAGTGTGGTTTGATGGACTTCTTTTAGCTACAGGTATGAGTTAATAAGGCAAACTAATCAGGTGACAAGTGTTACGTTGAGATACACTGGAAATTTTGAAAATATTATGAACAATTTCAAATGTGATGGTATTGTCATTTTACTAGTCATATGAGAAGCTAAAAAGATGTTGAAGTGTGCTTGAAGCAGCTAACTCTATTTTAATGTTCTCCTTTAGGCATTGTATCTGTTGTTGATGCGAAGCATGGATTGCAGGTAAGGTACTGAGTTTCTTACATGTTGTAGATGAACAGGTACCCATAACAGCTGTTGCAGTGATGTTCATTTTGGTTATTCTTTTTTTACAATTGTTTTAATTCTTAAAACAAACAAAGATACATTTCAGTTACTGTGGCTCACTAGTGCTGCATTTTGAATGGGAAAAAGAAGAACAGACCTCTGACACCAGGGTGATAACAAGTGACTTAAGGCTGCAGATTGGGAAATGATGCTAGTGTAAGGGCAGCTATGGGGAGGACAGGTTAGAGATTTGGACTATTAGATACCATATCAGATGAACGGATTATTGAGTTACCTGGAAGTAGATTAAAATAGCAGGTAATAGAGTAATCTATGTGAAGTGTACTGAGAGAACAGACCTACAGAATAGTGAGGATAGGTAAGTGCAGAAATTGTGATTAAATCCAAGTAATTTAACTTTTTCATTTATAATTGGCTGTGAAAACAATTCTTCACAATGTTGTAAGCAGTAGTTACTTTGATTAGGTATTGCTTTTGTGGAATTCAGAATAAGAGTGATCATAACCCCTTTCTTGTGATGTTACCCCCTGTGGTTAACATCACAAGAAACTGCAATGTCTTAAGCCTCGGTTTTCAGTTTACTGCCCTCATGGTAATTTAGGTGTTTTATTACTTTCAAAAGTACTGTTCTGTTCAACTTTCTCCTTATGCAATGCTTACTTACTGGCTTGAATCAAATAGAAATGTCATGTAGGGCAGTACTTAACTGTTTAGAAAAAATCAAACTTTTCATGTTTAAACTTGCAAATAATATGCCTGAAAACACACACACACATGTTTTGAAACATTGAACTTTTCATTATTATCTTCACAAGCTCAATGAAAACTGTTAGGTTGTTTAATTGGTCAATATGCAAAACTGACTTAAAGTATTAGAAACTTCAGACTTTCTGAATTATATGCTAGGCAGATAACATTTGTGGTATGTGAAGGACTTGTTAATATGCAATTCTTCTTGTTACTAAGTTTGATCTAAAAAGCTGCTTGTGATTCAGGTAGTTCTGTAAACAATACAAGTTTATAAAATACTCTTTATTTTTTAAGTAAAGAACAAATGGTCTACTTTGACACGTGTACTGCTGACTTTGTCCTTTCAGGGGCAAGAAGTCTGACCACACTTAATTTGATAGAAGCTCAGAAACAAAAAGTCAGAGGAAAAGCTGCTTTTCCAGCCATCCTTTTGTTACCTTTTCTTTAGACTGTGCACAATCAGGAAATAGTCTTGATTTGTTTTTTAATGTTTTTTTTTTTTTTTAAAGGCAACATTGATGGTACATGGTATAGTTTTGTTCTAGAATTCTGACAGTTCCACTTAAACAATTTTATTTAATTGATGCATTTCCCATGAAAATTAACACTATTTTCATTTTGTATTCCTGTGTCTTAATAAATCCAATTTGAAAGTAATACTCCTCGTACATTTAAGCTGATGAAGTAATGCACAGGACTGTGTGATCTTCCCATACGAGGTGCACTGCTGATTTTAGAATGTCAGTTCAAAGTTTTACATTTTCCAGATGTCCTTGATGCTTTTGCCTAAAGGGTTGCTGCCTCAGTGTCAGGACTGAAAATGCCTTGTAGCAGTGCCTCTGCTCTTCCAGTAGTGATGTCTGTTGTTCTGAATTCCTGATAGAATAGAGCTTTAACTTACTATCGTTAGTGCTGCTGACTGAGAATTGGGTGTTTTTTTCTCTCTTTCACTAATTCTCTGGGGGATGTTAGCTTGGGTACACAAATGTAGGACAAGGCTGCAGGTGGTAAGATACTGAACTCCTGCAGCATAATGATGTGATGCTCTTTTTGTCATTGCTGTCACTTCTGTCCAGTTTCTGCTTGAATAAACAGCAAACACTGAGGAGAGGCAGACTCACTAATGAGTAGCAGTTTGTTCATATAAACTCAGAACAAGATTACGGGTTTTTTACTATAGCTATGTGGTTTTGTAAATCTTTCAGAGAGAAGAGATATTCTTACATAATTATGAAATCTTGTACTGCAAGCCTAATACATCTTTAACAATAGACATAAGTAAATAGAAAAAAATATATTTTTATTCAGATACCTTTTTCCATGGTTACTGCATATCATGGTGACTTTAGTTTTGAGATTCATGATGAATTGAATATTATAACTCAGCTTTCCAACTCTTCAGCATTCTATGCAAATAATGTACTGAAAGAAAATAGTTTCCATTAAAGAAATGTTAAGCTTCTGTAAAGGTGAAGGTATGAACTTTTTCATCCTAATGGAAAAAAAACCCACAAAGATAAGATACAATCTTCCTGTAATACTTCCTTGAAAGTCATACCTTGTGTAAAATGACTTTGGCATACTTTAACTTCAAATTAATTTGAACATTAATTAAACACGCTTAATCCCCTTGTTTTAATTCTTATCTAGCACTTGACAGAGGAGAAGCCAGAAGGTCTTGTCAATGAAGCGTCACGGTATGGATATAAAAACTTCTTTTTTTTTTTTAATTTTGATTTTTTAATTGTAGTCAGTGACTGCACTGTGTGGAAGATTATTCAGAATTGATTCTTTTTCTTTTCTAAGATTTTCCCCTCCCTTGCTTTTAAACAAAGATAGAAATCAAAAATTATTCAGTACTTCATTTGATCTTTCTGCTAAGAGAGGAATTTTCTAGTAAGTAGGTTTATCTGAAAATAATCTTTATTTTCCTCCTCTTTATTTCCAGGGAAACTGCAGCAGATAGAGTACAAATAATGCTGTTTGATAGAACTGCAGCTCAACTTTCACCTACAAAATCAATTTTCAGTATAGTTGCCCCACCATTAGCTATACATTTTTGCTAGCAATGAAAAACACCCTGCATGCTGCGCTTGTAAATGTTTGCATGGCTATGTAAACATTTCCGGGCAGTGGCTGTTGCCACTGTTGTCTTCTTAAACACACAAGACACTGCCTCACCGTGCTCACATCCACTGTTTGGCCTTTGTAAGTGTCCAAGTGTCGATGGATGTCACTGGGTGCCATTTTTTTCTACAAGGGGAAATTCAGTTCTACACCCACCCTTCATATGCACTTCCAAGTTAAACATTAGGCTGCCACTCTGCTGCCATCTGTTGGACAGCAACAAAATTCAATGTAATGGTGGTGGGAAGGTTCAATCTCTGCTGTCACAGAAGGCATTACTTCTAAAGCAACTCTCATACATTTTTAAGATAAATAGAATTTTACATTAAAATAAATATTGGGGGAGGGAGGTGGGAAACACCTGGTAGGGGCAAGGAAGGTTTCCAAGCTAGGCTCTGTCAGATTATATAAGTCGTACTGGAGATAGAGAAATATGTGTGTGCATATATATATTTAATGTGGAGCCACAGTGATTAAAGGTGTAATTGTGATGAAGTCCTTGTGAGGAATGCATGCAAGAGAATTTGAGGTTCCTGGAGTTAATAAATTGTAAGAGAATTTGGAGTAGATTTTAAGTGGAGTGGGAGGGAATGGAAAAGGAGAAGCAAGCAAGCAACCAAAACAAGCAGCAAGGAATAATCTCAAGTAGTACTGTAGTCATTCCATGATGTTTTAGTTTGGTTAATGATTTGGTTAATGTTTGTCTTTCTGTTTTGCTAGTACATGTATTGTTAGTAATTTTACAGTGCTATGAGAGACATACTCTTTCTGCCTTGAAAAAAACTATTTGTTCAAGCAGTCCTTCTTTCTTTTTCCAAATGTATAGGCAGGTTGCTCTAGCTGATCTTATAATCATCAATAAAACAGATTTGGTTTCGGGGGAAGAATTGAATAAAGTCAGAACCTCTGTCAGGTATGAAACTTCTGGTATAACTGTAACGTTGTACACGCTCAAGTGTTATTAGAAATCAGATTTCATGATTACTCCAACACATTGTGTAGTCAGCAGTGGAAGAGTCTGTCCCTTTCTGGAGGCATTTCCATTGCATTTATGTGCTCCCACAGTCTTAACAGCTTGCCTAAGTAAGATTTTAGGTTACCTGCTAAGAAGTGTGGAATCACAGAATACTCTTAAGTTGGAAGGAACCTTCAAGGACCATGGAGTCCAATCCCTGGCTCTACTCAGGATCATCTGAAATTATAACTCTGTGTCTGAGAGCATTATCCAAATGCTGCTTGAAGTCTGGCAGCTTGGGGCCATGACCACAGCCCTGGGCATCTGTTCTGTGCCTTCCTCTGGTGAAGAACCTATTGCTAACACTGAACATGACCCCCTTCTGATGTAACTCCACACCATTTCCTTGGCTAAGTTAGGCCTTAAAAAGGCCTTATGATAGACCTTTGTCTTAAGTATCCACATTCTTATACTACTGGGCAGCTGTTGCAGTTTTTCTGAATTAACCACAGGGGGAAATGTCTGCTGGTACATACATTTTTGTTAGCAAATATAAATGGGTATGGAAGATATTCTAAATAATTGTTTTGGATATAAAAGAACCAATGATCTGAATCAAACCAGTATTTAATGGCATGTCCCATCTTTCTCAGTACCCTGACAGACAAAACATAATATATTTGCAAAGAAATACTTTGCAACTTTATTTGTGCCTCAGACTCTAAGAATTCTTAACCCTGCAGTTTGTATCAGGAGGATTCTTGTGGGGAAAAACGCTGTATTCAGTAGTATTATTTTGTTGTCAGAAGTTGTGCATTTTGACCTTTGTTCAGATATAGAAAGTCACAAAAACGAACGCTTTCTGCATGCCTCTTGGACAGTTCAACTTTTAATAACAGTGTGAGAGGTGTTTTTATGTTTCTTGTGTTTCTTCACACAGTTAAATTGTTCAATCAATATACTACAGTTTCATTTGCACCTCACTTTTGCTTTTTTCTATTTTGTTTTAGGTCAATAAATGGACTCGTCAAAATTTTGGAGACACAAAGGTCAAGGTATTAGATTGGCCATTATTAGTAGTTCCAAATCCTGTTCCACAGGCGTTATTTTTACAAGGCCTGCACTATGAACTATTAGCTGTGCACCTGCATAGCTACCTGTATTATGTTTTAATGTGTGCGTGCGTTCAAAGAGGTACAGAACAATTGCTCCCATCAGAGAATTAGGTATTTTCCAGGCATCCAGTACAAAGGATTTAATCTTTGTGAAAATAGATTTTTTTTATTTTTACTTTTTCTAAACTATATTCTCTAAAATCCTCTTCTTATGCTTTCGTATTACTGCGCAACTGAAAGCTGCTTTACTCCATGGTAGATAATACTGACTGCCAACATCTGAAAGTAGGGCTAGCTTCTGGTGCCTGATAACATTGGAATAAAAGGCTAGAAAAAAAAACAATTATTTATATGTATATATAAGTGAGTAATTGAAGCTTCAGTATGCATGATCTTTACCTGCAGTAAAAATAGCATGAAAAGAAAGCTTTCTTTCTCTCCCTACTCATGCAGAGTTGATCTTTCCAATGTGCTGGACCTGCATGCTTTTGACAGTCTGTCTGGAATAAGGTATGGCAATAATTTCATTTTTATTAGAAGTAATGTTCATTGCATAAATACATGCACGAAGTAGGTCACACTTACATGCAGGCAGACTCTGTATCTGAATTTCTGTAACAAATTCTAGTTCAGATGCTCGTTTAAAATTCTCAGTAAGAAGTAATCAGAAATGAATGTTTTTCTACTTGAGATACATGCAGCAAAAGATTTTAGGGTTTGTAAAATGAAATGAGAGCCAAAGTGCCCCTGATTGTTTGGTGTTTTTTCCCCATTTCCCTTGCTGAGGCGTTAAGTTGTTCTTTATTACTAATACTAATCAATAAGATCTTGGCACTTTTTTCTGGTTCTCTTAAAACTTAGAGGATTTGTTTTTTTTCTCACTTTACATCGTGATGAATTGGAGACCTTAGTTTTCACAGGAAACTCTGAGTTCCACAGCAGCCTCAGCTTCTAGGAATGTTCAGCGTGCTCCTGGATCCATCAAGTCCTCGACTTCTTTTGTGACTAAGAGGCCCAGCTTTAAATTAGCAAACGCTGCGCAGTGTGCTGTGGGAATTAGCTGTGGGAATGAGTTAAGTATAGTATTGATGTTACACTGCAGTTTTCACTCTCACAAGCAATGGCTTTGTACTTTTTTTTAATTCCTAATATAATTTTGGAAAATGATGTTCAGCAAATGGACACACTGTAGTTATTTTTCCTGCTGGCAACAGCGTTGGGATTTATCTTTTGTTTCTACAGAGGAGTATCAATACTTGCACTGTAAGTATTTTAATCAATACTTGCAGTGTAAGTATTTTAAATATCAAAGATACTGCCATTCATTACAATAATCTAACTGTATTTAAGATCAACAGCGAAAATAACCAAGGAATATTCATCTGTGTTTCAGATTAGTGCATGGCTTGAGTAATAATCTGGTCCTTCAGTTTATTTTTAGAATTGATTCTGTATTACTGACAGTAGTAAAAATCCCACAGATATCAGAAGTTATTTTTTAGTTTTATAAAGATGTAAAATAGTATAAGACGTGCTGATGTAGTAGGGAGCACAATCTAAGTTGTTATTTTGATCTTTTTTGTGAACTTTATTTTCTAAAGAACGGAAATAGAAATTAGTGAGGAGCAAAGCAATGAATTCAGTACTTTTGAGACAGCTGAACATGCCCAATGGCGTGAGCTATTTGACCCTTTTTAAGCTCCTTCTTACCAGTTAAAGTTTTCGTGTTCCTGTCTCTGCTTTCACATGTTCAAAATCATTGTCCTCTTGCTGTGGCTGACATCCCAGTGCCAATACTGTGGTTCTTTCTTCATGTAAAGTAGCATCTGACTTTCTGAGGCTGTATTTTCTTCCTCCGTTTGGACTTCAGCACACATGTACATTTTTCACACTGGTTTCATAATATTGGATCAAGATCTATGAGTCAATTTGAAAATTAGACTGAATGTATTTCTGTAAGTGAATACTGTCTAGCATTCTGAGTACTCTGATCAGAATGTGTTCGTACATCTTAACAAGGCTTTAATACAGTTTTGTTTCACAGCAGTATTTTTAATTCATTCATTTTTCTCTATGAAAGTCCCTGGTGACATAACTCTGTGATTGTTAAAAGTCTTGTTGTGAAAATGAATCTCTAACTCTTTCTTTTCAGTTAGTCTGACAGTTGAGTTAGTCTGTTATTAGCAATGCTTTGTTGTCTCTTAAGCCCAAGAACAGCTTTAATCCTACCAGAAATGATCATCTGATAGGTCACTCCTTGCTCTATCACACATATAAGTTAGAATTTTTTTCTAATCTAGAAAGAAAATCTGTGATTGTTTTGTTCCTTATTATAGTCAAATTAGATTACAGTAGTAATTATAGTGGAATTCCAGCAGCTAAGCAATGGCAAACTTTCTAACACGGATCATTTGAAAGATCAAGCAAATATAATTAAATGTAACTATTCTGAGATTAAAGCTGAATTAACAGATGAAATTTATTTTGATGATGATACTTTAGTTTTGGCCTGCAGTACTGAAGAGTTTGTGTAAGTCTTGTTTGAAATAATGACACTGCATCTATCCAATGCAAATCCAACATTTACTTATTTTCAGCTTGCAGAAAAAAATTGAGAATATGAAGACAACACATTCACATCTAGATAAGGTAATTACAAAAAGCACTGCTTCTGTCTTGTAAGAAGGTAGTTCAAGGTAATTGCAACCATGGCATTTTACTTTTTCAGCAGGTTTCAGTTTGGGAATGACATGTTTGAGAACTCTGGAATATTACACTGAATGCCCACAGCAATGTACTTTGATGTAGATGTGTATACTAAGTTCTGCTTTCAAATGTGGCTTAGGAGTTCCACTGTTGGAGACAGTTACATTGTTCGTGTACATGGAGAACACTACTAGAACCAACAAATAATACTGTTCAGTATTTGCAGAATTGAGTCCTGTACTTAGAGCTGATATTTATCCTGTGGGTCCAAATAGTGTCAATGTTTGTAGATACCAGGGAGTTGTTGTTCATGACTTCACATTAACTAAGACGTTAGGCAGGCACAGATTCTCGTTCTGTGAGTGCTTCCCATTGTTTTTACACAGAAAATCAACAGATCAACTCGTAACAGTGAATTAGATTTTCCTCTAAACTTGGTTTCAACCCTAGCTTATGTGCTAGAAAATCAGAAACACTTCTGTTGATACTGCTATTAGTATGTCAAACTCTAAAATGCTTGTTTTTTCAGATATGTAACCCAGTGTGTATTTATGTCAGGGTAGAATCTTCTGTCTCCCTCTGTGCAATAAAACGTTCCTTGCACATGGCAGTTGTAAAACACATTTTTGCCTTCATGGTTTTGTTTCATATTGTATAACCAAGATGTTATAATCACAATATAATTGTGTATAATCAATAGATATCAAGATGTTATAATTGCAATATAATCAAGAGAGTAAGGCAAAGCAGACAGCGATCACAAAAGAGAATAAGTGGAAGAGCTTACCCTTGGGTTGAGCTCACCAGAAGATACCAAAAGAGGGGATCCCAGAAGAGATCCTTCCCCTCTGGTAGCCAGCTCTTAAATAGGTCCAGGAGCTTCCGGCAGCACAGGTGAATTGCCTTCAGCTGTGCTCCTCTGGCTGACTCAAGGCTCACCTCAGGTGATTAATCAGAGGTTCAGGCCGTGACTCAGCAGTTCCCATACACATATAAAGAGCATATACAGTATTTTGTCTGTTTTGCCTTTCTAATTTTTAATACTGATTTAAGGGGGAAGGTCCTGGTCTGTCACTCCTACAGAGTATAAGCAGTTCTGTGCTAAATCAGAATCATAGAATGGCCTGGGTTGAAAAGGACCACCATGATCGCCTGGTTTCAACCCCATGCTGTTTTTAAGCCTCTATCTTGTCTGTGATGCACAGATTTTACTAGTAAGGTCCTTCCCCTCCCTCTTTTTTTTTTTTTTACTGAGCTGAAATGTCTCCTGAACTTTTAGTTCCCTAGTTTGTAGATACAGATCTTTGAAGGACTTTATGTTCATTTCTTAAGTTCCAGTTTGGAAGATGGGAACAGGAAGATATTTAATCTCCTCCTGTGTCTTCTATTATTGCATTTTGGTTATGCTTTGCCATGAGTCTGATCTCAGACCTACTTCCAACGTACTTGCCTAAGTCTGATGCTGTAGTTACTCCAGGATCAAAGGGCTATCCTGCCAGGTTATCGGGTTTTAATACTACAGAAGCAAGTATCCAGCTGACAGGGCTTTTGAGCAAGGGCTTTAGTAGTAAAGCCTTTTCAGGGACCGTTGCCATTTGCCTGTAAAGGTAAGAGATAGTCTAAGCTACTGCAGTCAAGTTGCCACTTCCAATCTTGAAGACAGGGTTTTGCTTGTGCGACCATATGGATTGAACTCAGTGTACCAATCAGTTGCAGAGTCAGAGGGGTTTAGGTTGGAAGAGGCCTTAAAGACCATGCAGTTCCAACTGCCCTGCCATGAGCAGTGTTGCAGCTCACTAGATCAGTCTTGAATGCCTCCAGGGATGGGTCATCCACAACTTCTCTGGACAGCCTGATCCAGTGCCTCACCACCCTCATAGTGAATAATTTCTTCCTGACATCTAAACCTAAATCTCCCTTATTTTAGTTTTAAACCCACCTCTGTTGTCTTATAACTACATTGCCTGAAAAAGAATCCCTTTCTAGTTTTCTTGTCCTTTTAAATACTGGAATGCTTCTATAAGGTATCTTCAGAGCCTTCTCCAGGCTGAGTAACCTTGGCGACCTCAACCTGTCTTCACAGGAGAGATGCTGTAGCTGTCTGATTGTGATTATTCTTGTGGCTCTCCTCAGGACTTGGTACAAGAAGTCTGTATCTTGTTATGTTGGAGGCCATAGAGCTGGGTCAGCCCGTTCCAGAGGTCTCTGCTTTTGCTCAGGGCAGAGTTTTCAAGTTCTCTAGAGCACTCTAGTGGGAGTGATGAGTTGGGCAGCAGCTGTAGTTGTCCTGCACTGCTTTCCTTTCTGAGTGGCTGCACTCTGAGAAGCAGTGCTACAGTTTCTGCAACACCTTTATGTGGGCTTCCTGATAGGGCTCACAAATACTAATCTTGCTTGCTGTTCCACAGTAAATCAGATGGCTTGTCACATACATTTCCCTCAGGCCAGTTCTGTGCTTCTGTGCTTTAAGGGACTGCTGGCTAGATTGCTGGTACTGTGTTTGAGAGTTTCCAATCTCTTGGTCTCCATTTGCGTATGATAAATGCTGGCATATCGCTACAGCAAGCCAGCGCACAGTAGAAGTGTTGTACAAATGGTAGCTATATTCATTTTGAAACCATTGAGCTAATTTTCTTGGATACTGCCCTAGAAGACTGCCCGAGGGTACGTGAGTTTGAAGCTGTCAATGTCCCGTGCCTTCCCAGCCATTACTGACTTTGAGAGGTCCCTACTTTTCCTGACGCTTTATACATTGTCTGTGTGGATCCACACATGTGTAGCGAGTGCACTGCTCACACCAGAACAGGTAATGATAGATTCTCTATACTGGAACCAAGATGCCTTCCCTATGCCCCAAATCATTGCAGGCATTTCAGTTCTGGATGATGACAAGTCATTGTGTTCCAACTACTGTTAATTCCAGTTAGTAAAAACTTGCTGATACTGAGTTTTGAGAAAAAGAAATACATGGATAATTGAACACCTGTCCTCTCAGAGTATGAAATTCCCTTAACTGTCCCAGTAGGTTTCTGAGTTCTTCAGAATTTCCCTTTGCAGGAACAGAGACAAGCCATAGTACCTTTCTCCTGCTCTTAATGGTTTTGTCACTGCTTTGTTCCTTACTGTACCTGATCTGTAGGTCACCCACAATCCCAGTCTAATACAGGTACTTTGTACATAGGTGCTCTGTGGATCTGTTGTGAACCACCAAAAGGTGGGTATCCCCAGTCCAGTGCAGTTCACTAATGGACAGTGTTCCCTCAGGGACTGGGGAGAAAGGAAAAAAAAAATTAAAAAAACTTACATTTTTATGTAGTAGTAGTTTAGAAAAGTGAACTTTCTTTACAGAAAAATACTGTGATTCGATTACATTTTCAGTTAAAATACAATGACTATGAAATCTATTTTTCTTTTGAACTGCAAATGTTGACTGTGAAGTTGATAGTCTTGAAAACTAAAGATTAAATATGAAAATTTATTGGTTAGCTACAATTATGATCAGAATCTTAAATTTTAGTTACACACAAAAATACCAATTTATGTTCATCTTAACAGTGTTCAGTTGTAGTATATAAGTCTGCAGTTAAGTAGAAGCTTTCCTGTGTGTTTCGAGGTCTATATTATGCTTGTATTATGAAGGAAATTCTTGCTTTTATCAAAAAAGCAACTGCAGTCAACCAGCAGTAAGCAGAATTCTTTGTTACTAGCCCTGTTCAGTTCAACACCCAGAGTTTGGGACAGTTGGTGAGTCAGATGAGGCATAAAGAGGAGAGAACGCTTCTGTCACAGTAGGCTGCAAGTTGGATGATGAAGTGTGTTTATCCACATCATGTGGATGGTCAGCAGGAGCAATACTGCTTTATGCATGAAGCATACTTATCTCTTGTTTTGAAGCTACTTAAGATGTTAGTGCTTGGTTCTGAGCAGTTGCTGGTGGTTTTCTGGAATAAAACTTAATACATCTTTATTTTCGAAATCTATTCTTACGTAGCTTATTTGTAAAGAGCTTTTCATAGAAGGAAAGCACTGATAGGTTGGAAGCATATTGATTATTTTTTGCCTGATAAAGTTGTGATGAAGAGCAGAAACAATGGCAAAGGTTAGATATGAAAATAGCATTTTAAAACTTACATAAAATATTAAGCTTATTAGCCTATAAAAATTAAAGTTGTTAGGCTTTTAAAACAAGCATCACCTACAGCAAAGAGTTTTGCTTTATAAGCAGGTGGCAATAGACTGTTTAAGGTGTTGGCTATGCCCCTGCCAAAACAGAACCAAACCAACAGTGTAAGAAAGTGGACAGCACAGAAATGGAGATTTTTTTTTTTTTTAATTTCCTGTTTGTATTTTGGAGTGGACTAATAGATTATTTTTTTTCTTTTAAATAAGGGCAAGCTATAAAGAACACTTTTTAAAATATATGAAAATACGAAAATATTTATTCAGTTAAGCAATTATAAGTGTGTCTTTCCATTTACAGGGCATAATGACAGTAACATTTGAAGTCCTGGGAAATATTAAGGAAGAAAACCTAAATCTCTTCATACAGGTAAATACTAACACAACATAGTCAGCTGCAAAATTGTTATGCCTTTCTGTAGAAAATCATCCCATGCTGTTCGGTTTGTGAAAATGTTTTTCCTCATCATAGAATCTCCTGTGGGAAAAGAGTGTGAAAGATAAGGCTGGACGTACCATGGATGTCATAAGACTGAAGGTTTGCCTGAGACTACTAGCTTCTTTGTTTTGTGCTTTCCCTCTTTTAAACCAGAAGGAACTGCAGTGTATTGTCAGTGACATACAGAGCAAAGAGCAGACAAAAGAGAGAACACCAGTTTGTCCTTGATCTGTTTAGAGACTCTTAAATGTCTGCTGGTGAACAAGACAACTCAAGATAGGTGACAGAGAAGCAAACAGTGGTACTACTTGTTGTGTAGTGAAAGGGAGACTTGCAGTCCCGAACACGAATGGGACCAGATTAATGATCAGGACGTAAATGAAAGGACGTGATGCTATTTTCACCTCCTTTGCTCTGAAAGGTCCCGTCCATTTCACATGACTCCTTATCTAGAGATGCAGTTACAGATTTCTGTCCATGATTACAGTTATTGGCGTAATAAGCAGAAGTTTAATCCAGTGTAGCAAAGCAGCACAATGCTAGTTATGGTCTACGTCAGACTGCAGTTCTAAAGATGAGATTCAAACATAAGTGTATTCATCTCCACGTGCAATTCATTGCATGGTTTTGAGATGAATGTAGGTGATGCTGGAGGATATGCTTGCATTTTCCTTAAACCAAAAAGCTAAGTAAATAAAACTCAATTGTAAAACTTGATAAGGTCTAAGAAATACAATGAAATGTGCTCTGATTAGTTTCCTGGGAATGTGTGCGTCATAGGTAGCAACGTAATTATTTCTGCTTCACTGGAAGAAAGGTTGCATTTCTTGATCTTTCAGCAGCAAAAAAAACAAAGGTTCTCATCTTCCCTCTCTTAACAAGTAAAACAACAACAAAAAAACAACAATGCTGATGCACTTTAAGCTGTCTGCTGTACTAATTAGCTGTACTGCTAATTAGAAGTATGCTTCTGTTGTACTGAGCTTTGGAATCAAACTAACTAATCAAAATTTCTGAGGCAAATAATACAGTGTGTGCTGAACAACAGTTGTTGCAGACAAATATACCAAAGTAAATTAGTCCCAGGTAATTATTGAATGGATTCCAAAGTTTGTTGCTTTCATATTCATATTTTACCAGCAACTACAGTATTTTTTGGCAGTGGCTGCAGAATTCCTACTACTGTGTCAAATACAGACTTTTTGTCATGAAATACTTTTAACTGTTTTTTTTTTTTTTTTATTTCTTTAAGGAAGTATAAGAGGTGTTTGACAGGATGTGTGCGACTAGAATATTTTAGAAAGTTTTCAAGTGATGAAAACTCTTAATGCAACTTTTGGAATGTGAGTTAATGGACTTAGTTTTGAAAGTATTCCATTGTAATTCCATTGCTAGTCATTTCACACAAATATTTGTTCTTTCTCTACTATTCAGAGATTCCGTTTCAAGATAGTGTAAATGTTAAGCATGAGAACTCAGTGGGAATAGACTCAACATTTTTGCTCATTTTATGTCATCATTGAGAGGTGATAAGGCTTTCATAGAAACATACATCATACATATAATTAAAGTGCCATGGTAGGAGATGACATTTTAATTTGCACAAATGTTCTAGGTGACTGTCCAAATGAGAAACTGAGAGCATGGCAAAGTATAATTGTTATATGTGAGAATGGATGTTACAAGAAACAATTCTGTTGCATTATTATTTTGATCAACTGCTGCATAGTTGTCAGAGGTTTTCCCTGTTCTGTCCACTTTTAAAGTTGTTTTTTTCCCCTACAAGTATTTTGTTTTTAAAGGTTTGTTTATATACTCTAACAGTTATTTTTCTGATAAGGGACTCGTATCTATTCAAGGCAAATCTCATCAAGTGATAGTCCAAGGTGTCCATGAGCTCTATGATCTGGAAGAGACTGCAGTAGCATGGAAGGAAGATGAAAAAAGAACAAATAGACTCGTTTTAATTGGTATGAGTAACTTTGCATCTTTTTTTGTGACTTTAAGGAGCTTTTTCTGTCAGCAGCAGTCCAGTGAAACCTGTCCAGTGAAAAGCAGCCAGCCTGTACTAGCCAGAGTAACAGCAATTATGATGTTCTGTGTAACCTTCAGTCCAAGCTCTATACATGAAAATCCCCCTGCACCTTCTTAAAGCAGCTGAGAACAGCTGTGCTTGCTGTCCTTTGTAGTTAAATAAAATAAAAGATATTCAGAAATTATGTAAGCATATTGAGGATTGTTTTAAAAACAAATAATTACATGGGAATTCATGGGCATGCTTTGAGTATTTGATCACATAACCAATAACGGTGAGGAATGTGAAGTCATTAAAGCGTACAAAGTCAGGTTTGTTTCACAGGTGTTGCATATTTCTTGAAATCTGTTTTTGCCTGTATAACGTAAAATTAACTTGTTACCTGCAGCTTAGTTTTGATAAAGTACTGTTTTCACTCACTGGTAGAGTAAGTATCTTCCTGGTGAGAGATCTTAGCGGCTTCTCCTTACAGCAGTGGATTTTTGTAATGTGCTCTGAAGTACAATTGACTAATCTTTTTTCTCTTTGCAGGTAGAAACTTGGATAAGGAGATCATCAAAGAAGTATTCATAGAAACTGTGACAGAGAAGCATGAAAATAGTTGACACTGGATATAAACAAGATTAAAAGTCTTGTGCTTAACTCTGCAAGCTTTTTATGACAAGAAGGACTGAATGACACACAGTGCAGTAGTCCCTTTTTCTTCTTCCAACCTACTGGACAGTTAAACTCTCAAGTCCTGCTAAGAATCCCTGCTCACCTACTGTTAAAAGAATAGCTCTTCTGGTCTAGAATCAAACACAAAAAAATTCTAGCATTTTGAGTTAGGCTTAATTTATGCTGATGAATTCATTTAGCATTGCAAAAGTACAGATAGGGAAAAGACTTGTTTCTGTTGTATGTTGAAAAAGGCCATAAATTACAGTAGGTATATGTGGTAAGGATGTTGGAAAACTATTGCTTTTTTGCTGTAATGATCTCTTAATAATAAATTAGTATTGATTTTTGCCAGTCATGTAATCACAGAAAAAAGTATTTAGTATTTCCTATTAAACTTTCTTGCTTAGCTTTCCGCTTATTCTTTGATTTTTAAACGCATCCATCCGTCCCAGGTAACAAACCTGTGGTATAAATGAAAGTAAAATGTGCAGCCAGTCTCCACACAGCAGCTGTCCTCCCAGCCCTCTCAGCTCAGTTCTACTGGTTTTTTTTTGTTTGTTTGTTTGCTTGTTTTGTTTTGTTTTTAACATCATGTCTCATGTTATGGAATGTCCCTCTGGCCAGTTTAGGTCAATGGTCCTGGTTCTGTCCCATCTCAGCTCTTTGTGCCTCTGCAGCAGCCCTTTGCTGGCAGGACAGTATGAGGCACTGTAAAACATCCTTGGCTCTGTGCAGCACTGCTCAGTAACAGCAACATACTGGTGTGTTACCAACATTGTTTTTCTCCTAAAGCCAAAACAGCATTGTTCCAGACATTAAGAATAAAATCAGCTCTGTCCAGCTGAAATGAGAACACTAGCAGACGTGAATTGATATATCATGTCATTAGTATTAGGTAGCTTGAAGAAGTTTCCACAAACCAGAAACCAATGCAAGGTAAAAAGAACAACTTTATGGTAACATTGCTGTTTAGAATCAAATAATCACAGAATATCCTAAACTGGATGTTCCTCCATACAGGAACACTCAAAAATTGAAATGCTGGGGGTGAGAGCATTGTCCCGATCCCCCTTGAACTTCAGCAGCTTGCGGCAGTGACCACTGCCCTGAGGAGCCTATTCCAGGGCCCAGGCACCCTTTTTCCTGACACTCAACCTGACCCTCCCCTGTCAGAGCTCGACGCTGTTCCCTTGGGCTTTCAGCACTGCTGGTGCTTGAGTTAAATAGAAATTTTGACAGTTTCTCTTAGCAGTCACGTCCCTTCAGTTTGGAAGCTAGTATGTATACTTGCAACTCTGCAGATTCTAGATTGTGTAAATGACACTTTCCTGTGTACGAGACAAATGATTGCTGTCAATTACGGGCTGAGTTATAAACATTACATAAATGCAAAATCATAAATTATGCATTTGTACTTAGTGCTCTTTATGTTTCATTACATATAAGGAAAGCAATCAGTTACCTTTATCATAGAAATAATTAAGAAGTCTGTTGTCTGTGGAAAGATAATTAATTTTCTGTGAAGTGCCTACCTGGTCATTCATTGTTGGTTTGAAAGAGGTGTACAGAGGCTTAATACGAACGACTTCCATGAGTCATAAGAGAACAAACAATGGATGCCTTACACATTCACTGTCAGATTTTAAATACATGCTTTTTGTATTGCAAATGAACTACATATTCTGAAAATACCAGCAGGACTGTTGCACTACTGCATGGGAGCCCAACATCTTGGCTTGCCTGGGCTGTATTCAGTGAATAGAAATTGTCTTGGGCCACGTGTACATGCATCACTCCAAAATCAATGCCTAGTTTCCATTTATTTCCATGGGAATTACATCTGATGATAGAGCAAATCTCAGCTACAAAACTGTTTTTCAACACAGTCACCATCATTAGCTGTGCATTTTCACCTACAATGAGCAAGAGCCTGTGTGCTGTGCCCATAAACATCTGTACCCCCCATCACCACAGCTGAAACGCACCACCCACTGCCTCGCTGTGCTCATATCTGCTGTTTGGTCTTCAGAAACATGCAGCAAGTGCTGGTGAATGTCAATGGGTGCAATCTTTTCTGCATGGAGGAATTCAGTGATGCACGTACACACTTCTGTGCCAGACACCATTCTGTCAGAGGGCTCCTCTGCTGCCATCTGTCGCACAGTAGCAACACGTAATGGACTATTGGTGGGAAGGTTCAGCCTCTACTGACAAACGACCAACACCTGCCTCTGATGTTATGGGCCAACATAATAAAACAGGAGGCATTGCTTTCAGAGCAGCCCTTGCACAGCATACAATATTGTTAAGATATAAGTAACAAAACATTTTAAATATTTTTTTTCTTAAAACAATAAAAAAGGAACAAAAAAACTAGTGGGACACCTGACTTTGTATTTGTGAAAGTGGTGCACCAGTGCAGTTCGATGTCTGCGGCTGCAAAGCTTAGTGAGTTCTCAAGGTGTTCATCAGAGATTTTTGATGAAATTTTACTTTTCTTGTGCTTCATCCTTGACAAGAATTGTTCAAAATGTGTGAGCTGCCAAAAAGTGATGACATGAATAAGGATAATCTTGAAGCAAGGAGTACTTTCCTCTGCTAAGACAGGAATCATGAAAGTCCAGTAAAGAGACGTGATCTGATTTTTGAGTTGAATATCTGTTTGCGACTCCATACATTCGATTTGGAAATGTGTGGGTCATTTTTATCAACTGAAAATAGCTTCACAAGCATAAGTTGATGATTTAGTTTTTGAGGTCTTGAAACCCAAAGCTGTGTGGTGCAGTCAACACGCTCAGGGGACAGGATGCCACGTGGAGTGCCCTTAACCGGCCCAAGCAGTGGGATGAGAAAAACCTCCTGAGGTTCAACAAAGCCAAGTGCAATGTCTTGCACTGGGGTTGAGGCAACCCCCGCTACCAGTACAAGCTGGGAAGAGGTGCTATAGGAGGCCATAGGACTGCAGTGGGGATGACATGAGTGCATGGGGCAGATGCAACTGGGGGCTGTGAGAAAAGGCACTGGCATTTCTTCTGCACGGCTCCCAAGACGGGAGTAGCAGGGAGTGACCTTGATTCTCCTCATACGTGGAGCCATGCACAACTGGGCACATTTCCCAAGCCCCTCTCTAGCAGGTCTGCCTCCTTGGGCAGAGGTCGCTTCCTACTTCAGCAGGGTGAGCAAAGAGCAGCCTCTGCAAAACCAAACTGTGTGTGTGTGAGAAGTGCTAGGTGCTGTGTATGTGCATGGCACCTGTTTTAGTGACAAAATCACACTTGGTGGAAGCACAGATGCTTTTCCAGAGGCAAATCACAGTGATTTGATCACCTCCGCACCCTCACCAGCATTTCCTATATGAAATCACCTTTCCAAAGCATCGTTTTCTCCACTGCCCTTTACTTACTGCCTTTTTTTTGGCCTTTTAAAACCCAAAAATAAACATGGTGCCATTGGATCTTATCTATCAGTTTTCAGCAATTAGTCAGTATGTGTGGATTCCAGCCAGATGGATGAGGTGTGCATTTTTTTGTTTTATGACATTCTTTAAAATTTAAGCAGTTCCGAATTTGTTGGATTTTCTCTAGTTCCACACTGTCCGAAATCATTAAATATAACAAAAATAATCAGTGATTAACAGAAATCACAGAAGTTTAATGCAAAGATGTACACAAATTTAACACAGTGCATTTCTAGCTGCTCTGCTGTGATACTGAAATGGCACTCTTTGGTCGCTTGGGTAGGACTGAAATTTAGCTATTCTGTTCACGGAAATATTAGCAGAAATAAAATACAGAAAAGCTAAATGGCTTCCCTTTTCTCTCTTGGGAACCTCTGTACAGTAGCAAGCAAACCAAGGTCTGAGTCTGGTCATGCGGTTTGCATGTGGAAGGTTCCTCTTCCTTCTCACGTGGGTCATTTTTGTTTGCATGCTAAGGCAGAGCTGGAGGAGGCCAAAATTCTGTTAGGACAAGCGGCTGCACAAGAGCAGCCCATGTAGCCCAAGTATCTTGCTCCAATTTAATAGGAGGGAGAGGAGGTTTTTGTTACATGTATACCCCACGTGAGAGTGGTTGAGTCAGCTCTCTTTAGAGTGGCAGCTCCTGACTCTGGGATCTCAGGAGAAACTGCTTTTGTTCCCATCTTCTGGGCCTTTCAGCAGATAAGAGGAAGCAGGGATGCCCACCTGCATCCTGTTTTTCACAGGACACGATGGTGTCATTCCCCACTTTTCCCATACCAAGCTGGAGCTATTTAGTCACAGTCCACATCTTCCGCCAGTAAACATTCCTGAGCACTCTTTTCCAGAGGCAAACAGCTCTGAAGGAAGGTACTTTCAAATGTCCACAAAAGTGATATCGGTTGTCACACAGTATAACCAATCACTTGCCTCCTCAGTATATCAGTTCGAGTCTTATCACAAGAAATACCTCAGGAAGCAAGCTCTGAGCTGGAAGACAAAGAAAGGTTCTTGCACCAAAACAGATCTGCACATGCTGACATTCACAGATGTCTCGGGAGAAGACCTGAGATGTGAAAAACTGAGCACCGAGCAATCTAGGGCATATATTTATTGTTAAGAGATGAGTAAAAGACTTGTGACTTGTATTGATGTAAGTAGGTTGCACTACAGTGCAGCTTCACTGAACTGCTTCCAACCTTTGAGCGCTTGGACGTGCCAATGATTTCAGTCCTTGATGAGGCAGTTTAAAGTATCTCAGCTTCATGTTGGTTTTTGCCAGGAAAGATAAGGACACAGAAACAAAGCAAAAGATCTTATTTTTAAATACCTAGCTTTGTGGCTGGTGCTGTCACCATAACTTTGATTTTTTTGACAGCCAATTAGCCTACATGGTACCAGGTTTGAGGGCACCACATGGAGTTTGCCTTTCTCAAAGGGGTAGGAGAGTCCCTGGGGAAAAGGTAGCGGGGCTCATTGGGAGGGCTGTAAGGGGGAGTAGGGGGAATAGTGAGCCTTCCCTTGGTGAGGTGTGGGATGGCAAAACTATATTAGAGGAAAAGGGTGCTAGCTGGGGTCTTGAAGGACCTATTGCCTTGAGAGGTGCTGGCAGCACTGCAGCACATACAAACCTCTATGATGGTGAGGCAGTGATTGCTGGGGCAACAGGAAAAGGCAATGGGGAAAATCAAGGGAAATACCTAAAATGAGTTATGGAGTTATACTTTAAGGGAGTGAGAGGAACAGCTATTCAGCTGAAGTGCTTCTACACCTATACACGCAGCTTGGGAAACAAACAGGAGGAGATGGAAGCTGATGTGCTCCTGTAAAACCATGATACAGCTGCTGTCACCGAAATATGGTGGGATGATTCCCATGACTGGAGTGTGCATATTGATGGCTACAAGCTGTTCAGAAAGCACAGGTGAGAAGAAGGGAGCAGGTGTTGC